AAGGACAAGCGGGCTAACCCAGATTCTGGGGGTTTTCAGAAATCTTGACCTACACCAAAAATGGGTATTGCCCTACCTATAGGAGAAGTTTGGTTTCATAGGTGTTCATATTTGTTTGGTAATAGAGAAAACATCTCCTTGTCTTTTAAAGAAACTGAATAAAGGGCAAAAACTTTACCTTTGAAATTCTCAAAATAGCATTTTTCGGGATAGCCCCCTTGTGCTTGACCAATTGTAGCATACAAATATAGGAACATAAATACATACACATGAATAAACACACAGAGATACCCAAACGCTGAAACATGCACACACAGATGATATAATGCTACAAACACACCAACAATGCTGGTTGCCACCGTGTAGCACCCTGTCTTAATGACTCTGGGTTCTAATCCTGTCTTGTTCAAGGACACACACCAGTAACCCCCCACTTAATAATAATATACATTTGTTATTACGCAAATCCCCGCTCAACAGCAAGCTCTATGCGCTTCACAGTCTATACTATTACCCCAGCAGACATGAGAGAGTATTCTGAAACAATCTCAACTTCCTGGGAAGCATACAGGGCAAGCAGCCATTTATAGGCGCTAAAACACTAATATGCTGACAAGATCTTCAGCTGTCTATGGCCGGGTAACCATTCCCACCTGGGTGAAGAGAGGAAAATTTGTGTAAAGTGCGTTTCCCAAGGACACAACGTCGGGCCCGCAGCTCAAACCTCCGAAACCGCAACCTCATGATTACGAGTCCAGTAGCCTAACCACTAGGCCACCGACGCCACTTAAATGCCAAGTCACAAACGTATGCTTGACATTAATTGTTTTGAGCCAGAAATAACTATTCACTTAGCCACTGGATTCCCCTTAAGGGCACAAATATTTATTATATATATATGCGTATAAAAGAGACTGGCAAAACATTATCATTATGTCACTGAACTGCTCCATGTGACTACTTAGAAATATCCAAATGAAAACCCTGTAAAGATTCCCATCTCATGCTCGTGAACCAACAACTGGCAATTACTGGACATGTTACTTGAAGTTTTGGAAAATTCCCTACCTGATCTTCTAAATACCCCCCCCCCCCCAAGAAAATATATTTAAAATAATATATTTAAAAAAACCCTGTGAAAAGTATCCACTGCCACAGCACTGAGCACACAAGTAGCTTTCTACCATAGTGTAGATAAGCAGAAAGTTTTTTATATAGGGGCGTGCTGACAAAATGTGTTACTTCTTTCGCAATGCTCGAATGGAGAGATATCATCTGACAATTGACACAGGGGTCAAACTTGTAGATTTTCAACTGACGCCGTTTTCTTCAAGTTTAATATTCTGTTCTCATTTCATACCATAATTTGAACAAACTCAACCTATAAATTTGACCATGTATCTATTTCCATACGACTTAAATACAAGATGTAACTCCTTTTGTCATCACGTCTTACATATTCAGTAAATGACAATACTTGATTATAACGATAATGGTGCTGACGAGGTGTCCATTCAAATCGCTCATGAGATGTTGTACTTTCAATAACATTTCTCAAATGCTGTTTAATTTATTGAGTTCGGTTTTATCAAAAATTGTACAGCATTTGTAACACAAATAAGTTATATATGGTCGCTTTTAAGGACAAGCGGGCTAACCTAGATTTTGGGGGTTTCCATTTAAATCTTGACATACACCAAAAGTGGGCATTGCCCTACCTATAGGAGACGTTTGGTTTCATTGGTTTCATTGGTGTGTATTTGATTGGTTATAGAGAAAACTCTCCTTGTCTTTTCAAGAAACTGAACAAGGGGCAAACATTTTACCTTCAATTTTCGCAAAACAGCATTTTTCGGGATAGCCACCTGTGTGCTTAAAAGCGACCATTTATAAAAGTGCCAAAGATTAGAGATGTAACTAGAAAGTAACACACAATGAAAAAGAGGAGGATAGATCAGATTAGGGATGATAAAAACTTGGTTGGAAAGAAAGGTCTTCGCTTCAAGACTAGCCCGAAGTGTATTTAGACAAGAATAAATCGAAGTCCTGTAAATTATGTACACATAGAACCAAAGCTTATTTTTTCTCCTCTAGAATGACATTAGTTTAGAACTCTATTATCTTTCTTTGCATGATCATGTCATGTCTTTGAACTTGAGTGAAATTATTTTTAAAAAACACACTCATTAAATGATGAGCCATAAAATTAACAAACACAGTGTCTACACTTTTTCCCCACGAGATGTTGATCGGCAACGGTAAGAAGCCGTCCCTTTTCCCCCACAGTGTGATATAGCGTGTACCGCACCTCTAGTCCGTGGGGACAAGTGTTACGCCGCACGCTCTGCTGTGCGCTGCAGGGGTGGAAAGTGTTAAAAGTCTTTGTTGATAGTAAAGTATTCTCAGCCTCTCTAATGTCTAATTACACCGGATCAGCTGATGACCTAAAGTTAAATCAAAACACTCCAGGAACGTGGGCTCTCAGATCACATTTCCAAACACTCCTCCTACATAAACACGTCAAAACAAACTTGTTGGAGATCTATGACATTACAGCCTACTACTTGGTTTTATAATGAAAAGAAATGTCTCAGCAAAACCGTTAACATCACAAGACGAGACAGGCAGAGGAATGAAGAAGTAAGAGCAGCTATTGGCACTGAGTCCTGCCTGCATTACATAGAAAGACAGAGGATAAAATGGTTTGGCCACCTGTTACGTATGTCACCTTGCCAACCAGCCTCGAGAGCCTACAAAACCAAGCAATCAGGCTATAAAGGAAGAGGAAGGCTACGCAAAAGGTGGATCCAGGGTGTCAAGGAAACCCTAAGAAAACATAAAATATCACAACTGAAAGAGCTGTGTGCAGAGCTGGCCTACCATAGAAAACTGCATCTGCCCTCGACGTGAAATGCCAAAAGAGGATAAAAAAGTAAAAGTAAGTAAGTACTTGGTTATTTCTTAATAACGTACAGTGTAACGTTAGAAGGCTAACTTTTCTGCAAGAAGTACACAGTATATGAGAGGCATTTTGGTGAAATCAGGTGCTCTTCAAAATAATGAAATCCGAGAAATAGGCATATTTCGGCCAATTTGTAAATTTTTTTTCAAATTTTTGGTTTATGGCTCAACACCTTGTATGTCCATTCATAAACACTTTCATGTGTAGATTTTATGGAAAAACGTTGATAAAAAAGGCAACAAAAAAAGGTAAATTTGCATTTTTAAAGGACTCTTAGAAGTGACCCCACCTCCTTCAATAGCAAAAATATCTAGACTTAATTCAAGATAAATGGATATTTTTTTCATCGAAAAAGTCAAACGAACAACCTTTAAGATGAAACAATTTAAAACAATATCCCCAGAAATTGATGAGTGTCTGATTCCACCGCGTCAAGACACATATAATATATAATATATGTATATATAGAAATCTAGATCTAGACATAGATCTAAATCTAGAATCTATACTATTAAATATAAAAACAGTTAGGCCTACAGTCCTACAGATCTATGTCTAGATTTTCTATATCTGGAATCTAGATAGAGAATCTAGATCTAGATCTATGTGTGTAACTAGAGTTACCTTGGTATTTGGACCATTCCATCAGGTCTTCCAAGAGTCTTCAGATGAATTAAATCTTTCTTCCCCGCACCAATACGTACGACGCACGTAGACATATCAAATGTAGGAAATCCACTGTTCTCTGGACTCTCTGTTACTAGATCTAGATCTAGATCTAGATCTACTTTTACTTTTACCGTCTCATTCTTAGCAGTAGACGAAGTCGAAGGGGCGCTCCCACTGACGGGACTGCAGCAGAAAACTGACAGAACGATTACATTTAGGAAAGTGAAACGACAAGAGGTCATGAATTGCATGGCTGGTCAAAGAGAGCATGAATTACATCGCACAAAAAACACTTGGCAGTGTATCTAATTCGCGTGGATCTGTCTTGTCCAACTTTGTGCAAAACGGTGTACTCAGTACCATCAGCCTCACTAATCTGGTTCTGTTGTGTGTGTGTGTGTGTACAGGACAACTCTGATCTAACTTTCTCTCCCTTCGTTGTTTTGTTTTCGTTTCAGGCCCAAAGAGGTTATACAGTCGAATTAGTAGAGGCCACAACTGTGACGTCACTCTGATAAATTATTATTATGGCTGTGCGGGGCCCACTCAAGCTTGCTTTGCCGCCATTTTTGAGATGATAGAAACTGCGCTGTCACGCTGCGCGTCCCCCGCAACGCCTATAGGTCTTCAGGGAGTTTGAAGCTCACTTTAGTTCTATTTTAAGTTTTCTTTTTGCTTGCTGTTTTTGTTTAATCGTATAACAAACACGCAGACACAATACTGCACCTGCGGACCGATTGTGGGAAACACAAATTATGCACTTAATATGGGTTACAAATGAAAAGAGAGATATAATATGAGGTATTGTTTGCTTTT